TTTTTTGCGGTACGCGGGCCTCTCACTGCCGTGGCCTCTCCCGCTGCGGAGCACAGGCTCCCGACGCGCAGGCCCAGCGGCCATGGCTCAAGGGCCCAGCCCTTCCGCGGCATGTGGGATCCCCCCGGACCGGGACACGAACCCGCGTCCCCTGCATCGGCAGGCGGACTCCCAACCACTGCGCCACCAGGGAAGCCCTGGTTTGCATTTTTAAACTTCGTATTTATGACATTATAATGAACCTATCCTTCTGCAACCTGAGTTTTTAGTTCAACATTATGTTTTTGAAATGTATTCATTTCGATACACTTGGCTCTAATTTATCAATTTAGCTTCTGACAGCATATCATTACTATTTTAAGAAATACAGAAATACTTATCCTTTCCCCTTTTAATAAATATTAACGTAGATTCCAACTTCTTTATTATGAACAACACTGCACTGAACACCCTTGTACATGTCTTTTAGTACACATTTACAGAGTGTTTCTAAGACAATGGTCTATAGAGTTTTTTGATCATGCATACTTATTCATAAAATATTCTTGAGAATGCATTTAAATATATATAAATTATATTATTCTTCGATAGTAATGTTATATATTAAAACATACTAATAGAAATTAAAAGAATGAGACAAAGATGAAATAAAATATTAAACAATTTTTCTTAAGAAAATTAAAACTATGTCTCTCTAAGAAAAATTTTAATAATGTATTTTAATGATAGTGTGATTAAAAGTCAGATTTGATTACAAATGACTATTTTTTAAGTCTCTAAATATGGCAGGTAGAGTGTTCAAACTAGAAGCAGAGGTATATCCTCTTTGTCATTTTCTTGTTGTTTATCTTTGCCTTGTTAGTATAATTAAGCCACATGTCTACTTTAGCTTAGTTAAAACTAAATAATATTACCCATGTACTACCCATAATTCACTTACCCATATAAATTGTAGATATTGCAATACACTACAAGAGAGTGGACAAAGGGGTCTGCAGTGGCCAACTCTGCATCACTGTGGAATTTCCCCTCTACCCTCAAA